CGCCGCCGCCACCGCCGCCGCCGCCGCCGCCGCCGCCACCACCACCCGGCCCCTCCTGCCTTAAAAGTAGAGGAGAGGAAGGGTCCTTCTAGGCAAGAAGAAGGGCAGCCTCTTAAGTCAGAATCCACAGTAAGACTAGAGATGCCACAAAGAACAAAGCAGGTGCTTTGCTTGCAGCCTAACTGCCGTGGCTTTGCTCCTCTGACCACAGAATTTTAACTCGTTCATGTTGCTTTAAGCCGGAGCGTGGAGAGCCATTTGTTAGAGCAGCGACAGAAACAGATACACCTGCTATGAGCATTTACCATGGGTCTTGTAGATATACACTTCTATTTATCTTGGATAAATAAATCCTGGGGAGCTGAAATCTGGGCCCCAGAAATGTGCAGTTTTAACTTCCTAAGAACAAGTAAAACTCGTTTCCAACATGGCCAAACCATTTTCTGTTCCCGCCAACACTATGAGAGACTGCTCTGCATCTTTGCCAGAATTTAATTCATGTTTTTCTTAATTTTAACTACTTAATATGAAAATGTCCAACACCTCTTACACATTTACCAATAATATACGAGATGTGAAGCATCTAAATATTCTGCTTAATTTTATTTTCCCATCTCCATCATTTCTTCCTGCGTTAAGTAACAGTCTGCTTACTGTTCCTCTAAAGACCCCTGTTCTGGACGTTCACAGGAATGGAATCAAATTAGTGTGTTTTTTGACTGGCTTTTTGTCCTTAAAGTAAGGTGTTCAAGTATAGTATTTTGTTGCTGTGGGATGTTCTGTATGGCAAATGTGTTGCTCTGATTGGTCAATTAATAAAACACTGATTGGCCTGTGGCTAGGCAGGAAGTATAGGTGGGACTAACAGAGAGGAGAAAAAGAAAGAACGGGAAGGCAGAAGGAGTCACTGCCAGCCACCGTCAGGACAAGCAGCATGTGAAGATGCCGGTAAGCCACGAGCCACGTGGCAAGGTATAGATTTATAGAAATGGGTTAATTTAAGATATCAGAACAGTTAGCAAGAAGCCTGCCATGGCCATACAGTTTGTAAGCAATATAAGTCTCTGTGTTTACTTGGTTGGGTCTGAGCGGCTGTGGAACTGGCGGGTGACAAAGATTTGTCCTGACTGTGGGCAAGGCAGGAAAACTCTAGCTACAATTTATGCCAAATTTTTCTCTCTCCTTGGGAACATTTGAACTGTTTCCACCTTTTTCTGTGTTGTGAATAAAGGTGCAACCAATGTCTGTGTTGACAACTTATTTTCATTTCCCGAGGATATATAACCAGAGGAGGATTGCTGGGGCTTATGGTAACTCCGTGTTAAGTTGCTTAGCAACTGTCTCACTGTTTTCAAAAGTGGCTTGATGTTTTACTTTCCCATCATAATCCTACGAGGATTTTGCTATCACTAGACCCTGGCTAACACTTGCTATTCTATCTCTATGTTTGTAGCTATTCTCTTGATGATAAAGGGCTATCCCCCTCCTCATGACTAAAAATTTGAAGTATCTTTTCAGGTATTTATTGTTTATGTCTTTATATTTGCTCTAGAAATGAGTATCTATAGCCTCTAAATATTTTTAAATTTGTGCTGTTTGTCATTTATTGAGTTATGTCTTAGTTAGGGTTACTATTGCTGTGATGAAACACCATGACCAAAAGCAAGTTAGAGAGGGAAGGATTTATTTGGCTAACATGTCTCAAGTCACAGTCCCTTGAGGGAAGCTAAGACAGGAACTCAAACAGGACAGGAACCTGGAGGCAGGAGCTGATGCAGAGGCCTTGGAGGGGTGCTGTTTACTGGCTTGTTTTTCATGGCTTGCTCAGCCCACCTTATTATAGAATTACATTCCACCAGCCCAGGGATGGCACCGTCCATAATGGGCTGAGTCCTCCTACATCATTCACTAATTAAGAAAATGCCCTACAGGCTTGCATCAGCTAGATCTTATGGAGGCATTTCTCAATTGTGTTTCCTCCTTTCAGATGACTATAGCTTGTGTCTAGTTGACATAAAACTAGCCAGCATGTTATATAAGTTTGGTTCTCTTTCTGTCTTCCTCCCTTCCTTCTTTCCTTCTTCCTCCTTCCCTCCCTCCTTCCTTCTTTCTTTCTTTTTGTTTTTTTGAGACAAGATTTCTCTGTGTTGCCTTGGCTGTCCTAGAACTATGCTGGCCTCGAACTCACAGAGATCCACCTGCCTCTGCCTCCCGAGTTTTGGGATTAACAGTAGGTGCCACCACCACCCAGCTGGTTTCCACTTTCTTGATAATTATTTAAGCAGAAAAGGTTTAAATTTCCATGGAGTTCAATTTTATCTGTATTTTTGTTGGTACTATTTTTGGTTTATGTTAGCTCATATCTAAAAATCATTTGCCAAAACTAAAGTGGTGACGATTTATCCCTCCTTTTAAAGTTTCAAAGTTTTAATGTCCTAAGTTAGTTTTATATCTGACATAAGGAGAGGCTCATTTTAAAAAGCATTTCTTTTATTTAAAATCTCTCTCTCTCTCTGTTTCTCTGTCTCTCTGTCTCTCTGTCTCTCTGTCTCTCTCTCTCTCTCTCTCTCTCTCT